TGTGTGCGAGCGTGCACAGCACGTGGTGCGTGTCCCACGTGACGCGAGCGGCGTCCATCGCTTTAGCGCGCCACGTCGCACATTTAATTATTGCTTTTTTAACATTTCAAATCAACGCGAGTCCGGTAAAGAGCACCCGAGCAGAGAACAAGAAGGGGGGGGGGGGAGGGGTGGTCTGGGAGGAGAGAGGGGGGGGGCAGAAATTCCGTGAACAAAAAACGCCCCGAGATCGACACGGCAGGGCTGAGTGAATGGGGTGGGTTGGTGGGAGACGTCGCACGGTGTTTAACAATCATCGGGCGCGTACAGCGTGCAACCACCATTGGAACCTCATTTGCCAGTTAAAAGTATGATAATTGTTTTTTTACCCTTCTATCTGGCAACAAAACTGACACCGTTTTTACAAGGAGTCATGTTTGCATAGACCACAATACCTGCAGTCATAATGCAAAAAAAAAACATAACTCTGATAATGTGCACTGTCCTTGAAGTTGTTTGGTCCACACCCGAGACAGCTTTCCTTAGAGCCTAGTCTCACATGGGTTGGACCAGATGACGCCAAAAGGCGCATTATGACTGCAGGTATTGTGGTCTATGCAAACATGACTCCTTTAAAAAAAGGTGTCAGTTTTGTTGCCAGATAGAAGGGTAAAAAACCAATTATCAGCGTGCAACCAGTTCATTTTGTATTCGGGCGGGGAGGAATTGAGCTGGTACGCACGTGGTGGTGCTGGTGGTGGTGGTCGTGGTGGTGCTGGTGGTGCTGGTGGTGGTGCTGGTGGTGGTGCTGGTGGTGGTGCTGGTGGTGGTGGTCGTGGTGGTGCTGGTGGTGGTGCTGGTGGTGGTGCTGGTGGTGCTGGTGGTGGTGGCGATCGAGTGAAACCGGAGTTCGTGAAACCCGGCGCCCTCGGAGGTTCTCCCCGAGACATTTTCCCTCCCTTCTCTTCCCGCATTATTTACTTTTCGAGAATGATTCGTGCCGCGGTGTGATATTTTGATACCTCCCGGCAAAGTTGCGAGGAGGTCTGAGATATTATTATTATTGACTCAAAAAGATGATGTGTGCGCCAATGTCAGGAACCGCTGATGATGTCCCCTCGGGGAGAGAAGGAATGCGCCGCAAATGGCCACAATGCTGGGAAATGGAAAAAAAATTCAACCTCCACCCCCCCACCAAAAAAAATCCCACGGTCGTGCCACGCGTTAGCACGGTTGGCTACGTACGGTGCGAAAGAAGTTCAGCGTGCGTGCGTTAGCTCGGAGGCCTCGACTGGAGGGGAGCAGCTCAGGGAGTGAAAGGATGGAAGAGGATGGGGAAGGCCTTTGTCCAGCAGGGGAGAGGATGACACCAACAACAGCAAACTCACACAGAGATTCATAGACTCACACAGAGACCCATAGACTTACACAGATAGTCATAGACTCACGCAGAGACCCATACTACACACTACACTACTATAAACTATACACTACACTACTACACACTACACTACTACACACTACACCACTATACACTACACACTACACCACTATACACTACACACTACACTACTATACACTACAAACTACACTACTACACACTACACTACTATACACTACACTACTATACACTACTACACATTACACTATACACTACACTACTACACACTACACTATACACTACACTACTACACACTACACTATATTACATTGAGAACTAATTTATTTAGAACTGCTCTTTGTTGCGTGTGCAGTTTCTTGTCCATTCCCCACGCACCTCCGATTAGCACGGTTGGCTACGTACGGTGCGAAAGAAGCCCAACGTAACACGCACCTCCCCCTAGGTCGACTCAGCCACAAAAACGAGCACCTGGCGCGGTGCGTAGCCAGACATCGCCACCGTGGGGAGACAGATGCGACGGCGGATTGCTGCTCGCTAACAGCACTTGCCCCAAATGTGGGTAATGGCTACATACGGGGTGTGGGTGGGGAGGGGGTGATCTTTGTCTTTGAGTGAATCATGATACCGATTCCATGCGAGTAAATATCGCGGCAAAGCATATTATTCCGTTTCGCCTCCCCAAATCTGATCGTCGCCGCGAGGCTTTGCCCCTGAGCGCATCGATGGCCCTCGAAAAGTGATTCAATCGCGGGTGTTCGCGAATGTTGAACGGCGGTTAGAGGCGCAGCCCTGCAATTTCCTCGCTTATTTTCCACTGCTACCGGAAGGACCTCCTCCGTTGGAAGGCTTATACGGGAGGGGGGGGTAGGGGGGGTTAATCTTCGTGTCGTCTCTTTGTCCTCACACGGACCTCTTTCGTCGTGCTCTTTGTGAGGGTTTCCGCGAAAATGTGTGTGTGTGCGTGCGTGTATGGGGAGCGGTGGCGCAGCGGTTAGCGCTACGAACCCGGACGACCCCGTTTCGATTGCCGCTGACGGGCACCAACACCGGCGAGGATTATCTGAACCTGGGCCTCCCCTAGGTCGACTCGACCTCAAATGAGTACCTGGTGCGGTGGGTAAAACAACGCTGTTGAGAAGACAAAGGCGGCCGGGCGTGGTGCCGGCCACCCTCATATACCGTGCCGGCCTTCGTAGGTGCTCCTCGTTAATAGAACTTTCCCTAACAGTCTGTGAAGGCTACACGGGGGATCTTTGTCTTTGTGTGTGCGAGTTCGATTCCCGCTCGCGGCCACCAACACTGGTTACGATTATCTGAACCGGTGCTGGGCCCTCTCCTAGGTCGACTCGGCCTCAAATGAGTCACCCGGGGCAGTGTGTAGTAAACATCGTCACTGGGGGGGGGGGGGGGGGGGAGAGAGAAAGGCGGCCGCGCATGACGCTGCCTACTCACCCCCCTTTCGCATGCTGTGCCGGCCTTCATTTCAGTTTCATTCATTAGGTACTAGCTGTACTGTCCGGCTACGCTCGGAACTTGGATCCACCACGCCCGGCCGCCTTTGTCTCCCCAGTGGCGATGTTCACACACCACAGCAGTTACTCGTTTTGAGTCTGAGTCGACCTAGGGGAGGCCCAGGACCGGTTAAAATAATCGTCACCGGTGTTGGCCGTGAGCGGGAATCGAACTCGGGTGGCCGGGTTCGTAGCGCAGCGCGCTACCCGCTACACTACAATGCGTGACGCTTCCACATGCGCGGGTCACATGACAGATTTGACGTCACAGCTCACTTGCTGTGCAAAAAATATATGCATTATTGAGCTCCCCCCCCCTAAAAAATATACAAAAGTGTATTTTTATAATTGTTGCATGGTGTACAGTCTGGAAAGTACACACATGGTAAATTTCCAGTTTGTTGCATGTCGGAAAGTACGCGAAACATTTTGAACAGGCACATAGTCACAACTTTGCTTTTTATATGTACGTATGGAGATGACCCTGTGAGCCATGCGGCTCTTGACTCGGTTGCAACCGCAACAAAACAAAAACGTGAACAAGAAACATCTGAAAGTGACTTACGCGCAAACAGAAAAAATCCTGGAAAAAACAGCAAAGTCTTCCAAAAAAAGACCACCGCATTTCAACGCTGTGTGCAAAAAATCCCAGTGGGATGCAAGTCAAACAATAACAACCACAAGACAATGTAGATTAAAGTTATCAGGCTAACTCTGTACTACAACAGACAAACATGGCTCAACCAAAACGTTTTCGAAATCATCAAAATAAAGCTATAAAAACAATGTAACGGTGATCATAGGAACTGTGATACAAATCTAACAATAAACGATACGCACGTAACATGTACGACCAAACTTTGCAGCCATAGCAGCCTTCATAGGTGCTACTCGCTCACAGCACTTGCCTTGTGATGTAAATGCTTACCCCGAGCCCTCATACTCTGATGGTGCGTTGTCTTTGAGCTGTGCGCCTTTTGGCGTCATCTGGTCCAACACCATGTGAGACTGGGCTCTAAGAAAAACTGTCTCTGGTGTGGATCAATCAATTTCAATGACAATGCAAACATTATCAGAGTTTACACTATGAGACCTCCTTTACCAGTGGCAAAATATAGTAATAGGTTTTTACCCTTTCAACTGGTATAAAAACTGACACCTTTATACAAGGCATCATGTTTGCAATAACCACAACACAAGCAGTCAAAATGCAAACAAAAAGAAACAACTCTGATGATGATAATTATAATGCACTGTCCTTGAAGTTGATTTATTACTATTATCAGAGTTGTGTTTTTTGTTTGCATTCTGACCGCAGGTATTGTAGTCAATGCAAACATGACTCCTTGTAAAAAAGGTGTCAGTTTTGTTGCCAAAAAAAAGGCAAAAAAAAAACTATTATTATACTGTTAGTTTGATACAGCAAATCTGGCTGTGACGGTCCCACCTGATGACGGAGACTTGTGTTGCCTCCGAAACGTCGTGATTTTTATTATTTTATTTTTATTAATTTTAATTTCGTTTTTTTTACCTACGTGACATTACCGAAAAAACTAAGAGTATGAATCATTGCAGTCACGAAAGCTTCAAATCTAGAACCTATTTTTATTAAATCATTTATATTAAGTTCACTTGCTTGCTTGCTTGCGCGCTTACGACCGTGAAAATATTTCGGTCTTTTTTTTAACCCACTTCCCGTGATCCAATCGAGCTGACATTTTGCACACAGACTCGTTGTGCGTGACAATTTATTTTGTGACAAAAAAAATTTGGAAAATTTTAGGAATTTTTTTCATATTAATTTAAAATACCAAGGTGATAAAAATGAAACTCTTACTCAAGAAAAACAGAAATGAATAACGAAATAAAACCGATGCCACGCATAGAAAATTTTAGGAAACATTTTTTTATATTAATTTAAAATACCAAGGTGATAAAAATGAAACTCTTACTCAAGAAAAACAGAAATGAATAATAAAATAAAACCGATGCCACGCATATAAAGGATTTATAGTGAAAAACTTTGTTTTTACGGGTTAATTTTTAGTCTGTTGAGGCTACACGGGGGGTGCGGGGTGACACCTCTTTCTCTCTGTGTGCGCGCCCAGGGATTCTCAACAATCGCGCCCAAGAAGAAGGAACCCGTGACATCCGAGACGGTGGTGTTCTGGGGCATGCGGCTCTGGCAGGTCGTGGGCATCTTCTCCATCGGAGTCTTGGCTGTCAGTGAGTCGGTGCCCTTTCGAATCCGCCGGGGGGGGGGGGGGGGTGTCAGGTGGGGGTCACCGCACGTCCAATTCACACACACCTGAAACCCGTTCCGAGACACCTGCAAGGTGGCAGGGTTGGGGTGTTCCATCGCCCCGACCGCCGAATCTGGGGGAACAGGTGGCTCGGTGGTTACCGTCCCCTTCCCCTCTCATCGAAGGGATCTTTGTGTCCCCATTGTAACCAGTTCAAGCCTCCTGTAAACCACGTGACCTGCGTGTGTGTCCACCCCCGCTCTGAACCCCGTCCCCCTCTCATTGAGGAATCTCTGTCTCTCTGTAACCAGCTCAAGTCTCCTGTAAACCACGTGACCTGCGTGTGTGGCCACCCCCGCTCTGATCTCCCTCCCCCTCTCATTGAGGGGATCTCTGTCTCACGTCCTCCGCAGATCCACTCCCAGCCACCACGTCCCACACCGCCTGGTGACCAAACGCATTCAACTTCTCTCTCTCTCTCTCTCAAACGTTCTCTATCTGAACACCGCTCGTAAAAACATGAGCCATGTTAGCGGAACATACAACCAAGACATTCTACGCAGAAGCAGAAAGATCACAGCCCCACTCTGGCGTAACACGGAGAGTGGGGGGTGTGTGTGGGGGGATCGCCCCGGGCCCCGCGCTTTGGGGGGTTGGGGGGGGGGGACCCGCGCTTCGATATCACCGTGTGATCTGACGTCCCTGGGAGTTACTTGCGTTCCGTGCCACATCCCACGCCGCCGTTCATCTTCACGGCACGGAGTCGTTCTTCGCTCTCCGAACACGTTCGTGATGAATTGGCGATGGCACCGACCAACCCACTGCAATGCGCACACCCCTGCGGGTTCGTGTGGGACGCCGCATTCCGCACGACATTTCACAGAACGGTATCAGTTTGTGGCAGATTCCGGGGAAAAAATGAGAGAGTGGGGAGAGTGTGGGGAGAGGGGAAATAAAAATATAGAGGGAGTTGCGTTTTAATATTTGTGTGGCTCTTTCACTCTCTCTCTCTCAAACACTCTCACTCACTCACCCTCACTCACTCTCATTCACTCTCTCTCATACTCTCTAACTCACTCTCACACTCTCTCACTCACTCTCATTCACTCTCACTCACTCTCACTCTCTCTCACTCTCATACTCTCTCACTCTCTCTCACTCACTCTCTCGCACACTCTCTCACTCACTCTCACACTCTCACTCTCTCACTCACTCTCACACTCTCTCACTCACTCTCACACTCTCTCACTCACCCTCACTCTCATTCACTCTCTCACTCTCTCTCAAACACTCTCACTCACTCACCCTCACTCATTCTCATTCACTCTCACTCACTCTCTCACTCATACTCTCTCACTCACTCTCACACTCTCTCACTCACTCTCACTCACTCTCATTCACTCTCACTCACTCTCTCGCACACTCTCTCACTCACCCTCACTCACTCACTCTCACACTCACCCTCACTCACTCTCATTCACTCTCACTCACTCTCTCACGCATACTCTCTCACTCACTCTCACACTCTCTCACTCACTCTCACTCACTCTCATTCACTCTCACTCACTCTCTCGCACACTCTCTCACTCACCCTCACTCACTCACTCTCACACTCACCCTCACTCACTCTCATTCACTCTCACTCACTCTCTCACGCATACTCTCTCACTCACTCTCACACTCTCTCACTCACTCTCATTCACTCTCACTCACTCTCACTCTCTCTCACTCACTCTCACACTCTCTCACTCACTCTCACTCACTCTCACACTCTCTCACACTCTCTCACTCACTCTCACACTCTCTCTCACACTCACTCTCACTCTCTCTCTCTCTCTCACTCACTCTCACACTCACTCACTCTCTCTCTCTCACGCACTCTCTCCTCCACTCTCTTCTCTCGTGAAGAGCGGGGGGTGGGGGATGGAGGGGGATTTGGAGGGCGGTGGGAGGGAGCGATGGAGAGTGTTGTCCTTTAAAGCGTCAAGCCACAGGAATTTTGTGAGTGTGTTGCCCGAGTCATCGAGAGTGCGACGAGAGGCGCGGTAAACTTCGACTCGATCTTTGTTTAGTCCGCCGCCGCACGGAACAGGCTGCACCCCCCCCAGCCCCACACCCCCCACACCCCCCACACCCCCCACGCCGCCCTCTCCTCGATGTCGCCTCTGCGTGTCGGAACTCGCGTGGAGCCCACTCCGGAATGCGCTCCGCGAAATGTTGAAGGGCCGCGCTCGCCAGAGATCGCGTGTCCAGCGATAAGAGGAGCACAGGGGAAACACGCACACGGGACAAAACTGCGCCCCTACCCTCCCCTCCCCTCCCTCCATCCTTTTTAAAAATCCTTTATATTAAGTTCACTTGCGTGCTTGCTTGCGCGCGCTTACGACCGTGCAAATCTTTCGGTCGTTTTTTTAACCCACTTCCAGTGATCCAATCGGGCTGACATTTTGCGCACAGACTCGTTGTGCGTGACAATTTATTTTCGTGAAAAAAATTCCCAAAATTTTACACTATTTAGGAAAAAAATTTTCATATTTAATTTAAAATACCAATGTGATAAAAATGAAACTCTTACTCAAGAAAAACAGAAATGAATAATAAAATAAAACCGATGCCACGCATATAAAGGATTTATAGTGAAAAACTTTGTTTTTACGGGTTAATTTTTTTAAACGATCAGACGAGAAAGATGCTCAGTCTTTCGGCACTTTACTTCGTTCATCATGTCGTTTGTTTGTTTTTTTTCAAAGACATAACGCGGGTTTCCCGTGTAACATTAGTCCCATTGTGTGCTACTGTGTTCATAGACCCCCAACAAGAAACACAAATCACCCTCAAAAAAACCATCACCAGATCCCCTGCTGCTGCACTACCAGCACCATAGCGGCGAAGGCACCTCCCTCCCTTCCTCCCTCCCTCCCTCCCTCCCTCCCTCCCTCCCTCCCTCCCTCCCTCCCTCCCTCCCTCCCTCCCTCCCTCCCTCCCTCCCTCCCTCCCCTCCCTCCCTCCCTCCCTACCTCCCTCCCTCCCTCCCTCCCTCCCCTCCCCTCCCCTCCCTCCCTCCCTCCCTCCCTCCCTCCCCTCCCTCCCTCCCTCCCCTCCCCTCCCCTCCCTCCCTCCCTCCCCTCTTCTCCCTCCCTCCCTCCCTCCCCTCCCTTCCTCCCTCCCTCCCTCCCTCCCCTCCTCCGTACGACGGTGAAATCCTCTAGGCAGCAGGTGAATCGAGTTCACGCTGTTTCTGTGGCAGGGTTGTTGGTTGCCACCGTTGCGTTTTGAGCGCCGGCGAGCACTCACGCTGCGCTCCGAACCCCGGGGCGGGCCAAGTTCGATTCCCACTCACGCTCATCAACGCCGGGGGGGTAGCGATTTATCTGAGCCGGTCGTGGGCCATTTGAGCGACTGATGTGAATTTTCATATTCTATAAGGGCTAGAATATGAGAATTCTAATGATGTTCTAGAAGGGCTATAAATTAGTGATGCAAAATTGTATGATGTTTATATTCTTAGGTTTTTTCGGTAAAGTCACCATATTAATAAAAAGTATGCGGCCCTTGCCCCACCACCTTCTCCAACCATTATATAAACGGAGTGGTAGCTCTTGCAATCTCTCATTTACTTGATACAGCTGTCGTGGCTGTGACGGTACCACCTGAAGACGGAAGCTTGCGTTGCCTCCGAAACGTCGTGATTTTTATTTTATTTTACTTTTTAATGTTTTTACCTACGTGACTTTACCGAAAAAACCTAAGAACATGAATCATTGCAGTCACGAAAGCTTCAAAGCTAGAATTGTATGATGTTCTAGAAGGGCTATACAGACCTGAGTGAGTGATGTGAATTCGAAATATGTTCTAGAAGGGCTGGAGAGGTGAGCGACGGGTGTGAATTATAATGATGTTCTAGACGGGCTATAGAACTGAGCAACCGATGTCAATGCTCATGTTCTAGAAGGGCTAGAGATCTGAGTGGCGTGATTTCTAATGATGTACGAGAAGAGATAGCAATTTCAGTGCTCGATGTGAATTATAATGATGTTCGAGAAGGACGAGAGAACTGAGCAACTGATGTTAGTTCTCTGGGTGTGGTGTGTTAGGAGACAAAGGCGGTCGGGAGACAAAGGCGGTCGGGCGTGGTGCTAGCCATACCAACCGTTCGTGTGCCGTGCCGGCCTTCATAGGTGCTCGCTACTAGCACTGAATCCACAGTCTGTGAAGGCTACACGGGGTGTCTTTGTTGAACGTAGGAACAGTTTATTTAGAATTGCCCTGTGAGCGAAGAAGCTCTTGAATCGGGTTTCATCAACAAAACAGCAAAAAATGTGAAATTAAAAACACGTTTTCAACAGGTCGCATGAAAATTATAAATACGATAAATCCATACTATGTGGTTCTTTCGGTAAAGTCACGTGGGTAGAAAAAATTAGAGATCACGACGTTTCGATCGCAACACAAGCAATCGTCCACAGGTGAGACACCTGATGACGAACGCTTGTGTCGCGATCGAAACGTCGTGAACTATTATTTTTTATTCCCACGTGACTTTACCGAAAGAACCAAAGAGTATGGACTGCTGCAGTCACGAAAGCTTCAAATCAACAATAAATACAGCAATGAAAAAAAGTCAACAATTTTTTTTATAATTTATTACTTAATTATAAATGTAATATTTAACTAAAGTGAACATTTAAGATTAGAGAAACATATTGCAAAATAGTGCGTCTAGAGTGAGGAATAAGGTTCGATAAAAATATTGCAAAACGAGGAATGTAAACGCCTTTATATTATACTGGTCAACAAAAAAAACATTTTTTTTCTGGCCTGGACTTTTGCAGCTGTTTTAGACTAATTTCAGGGTACTGATTCCAAATCTGATCTCAGATTTGGTCTATCACATCTCATTTTATGCTATCGGTATACCCCATTTTCATTGATTTTACCCGAAATTAACTCTGTCACTTATGATTGCAAGTTGTTGCGAGTCAG